TAGATTTTCTTATTGAGTTTACTGTTATTAAGATGGTCTTTAAAGATTATTATTACCTTTTCTTGTAGTTGGTTACACAACTGATGACTTACGCTTTATCTGGCAATCTGGAGATCCTGTGCAGTTAGAGAAAATTGCTCTGCCTCAGTTTGACATTAAAAAAGAGGATATTGAATATGGTAACTGTACCAAATATTATAAAGGCACAGGTAGGTAATATAAGCAATGTCTACATTAAAAACTTTAAGCTTGCTTCAATTGATGTTTATGATTAATGATTAATGCTCCAGTTCATGCCTTACATTTCATGGGAGGAAATAAATTATTTTTAACTAACCAGTAGTTCATACCGTTAGTAGCATAATAACAATCACATCTAGTAACCACAGACTAATTCAAATACAGAAACATCTAGGTTAAAGATTAGAATAAGTGTTTTTCTTAGTTTTTGCTTACATGCCTTCAGATCCTCTGCCATCATTTTGTTCCTGTTGTCGTAATACATTTTTATGCTTGTAAACATCTAGCTTTTCTGATAGGCTATTCGTGTAGAATTACGTCAGTTGTAGCAAAGTAAGATAATTTTGATTTTCTGGTTCAACTCTTCTTCCAGAAGTGGATAATATTGGAGTGTGACTTCAAACGCTTCTTCCTGCAGGCTTTTCCTTTCTCTAAGTGCTCTTGAAAGTATGTCATTATAGAAAGCTGTTTACAATCCTCAGCTCTGTATTTATTCACTCTCATGATTATTTCCTGAGTGTTGGCACTAATTTATACAATGGTTTCTGTACTCTGGCTTCTAATGTTTTATCTTTTTCTACCTTGATTGATTCCTGCCTATACTTAAACTGCTCACATACTGTGGAAACCACAAGCTTTTCCTTAATAACAAAACTTAACAGGGTATATTTTAGTCAGTGCTTTTGCGTAGTATGCATAAATCTCCCATTAAAACTCAGAGGATGGCTGAGGAGCTGAAGCTTCTGAGGATCTTTACAAGTTTCTTACTGACTTTTCAGCTGAAGTCTAGGGTCTGCTACTTGCAGTTATTCTCGAGCTGGATCCCAAGTTTGAAGAGATCTTATGTAACCTTAACAGATCTCGGAGTTAAGAAATTTAACTTGAAAAAGGTAATGGCAAGTGAAATGTCCTTGATTTTCTAACTACAAAAGGCCCGAGTTCTCAGCCTACTACCTAAGTAATTCAGTATCTCAGAGGATTTACCATTTGTAAGTAATATGAAATTACTCCTCCTCAGGAAAATTATACGTTGGTGAAAGCACAACCAGCAATTGGCAGTGATTGCATTCAAATCTTAGTCTGGATAAGATGGAAAATTATTTAGCAGTGGGAATATTATTTTATTCTTAATTAAACAATGAACTTACTGACAAAAAATAACAATTAGGCTATGAAGAGTGAATAATTAAGTGGATTGAGTGGTCAGTTCTGAAATAAAATTCATACAAAATGGGGAAATTGGAGCTAATGCAGAGACTTACATTTTGTATGAGGGAAAAAGACTGTACTTTTGACAGATTGCTATCTTGTTCTTGTAATTTTGTTGTTAGAATTAGCATGATCATTTTGCATTTTTTCCTAAAGCTGAAGTTAAAAATCTAAAAATCTTAAAGATATTTAAAGTATCTTTAGGACTTCAAAGAAAAATCTAAAAATTCATTGTGCACTTTGCCATTAAACTCAAAAGAAAAAATGGTAGCATTCCATCGAGTTTCACCACCTTGTGACCACAAATTAAAATTATTTACTGTGCACAAGTGCTCAGCAAAATGGTCACGTTCTTTTTTTGTATGATTTGATCGTTAAAGAAAGAGCCTTAGAGAATCAGTATGTTGAGTGGAATAATGACCTGGAGTTCTTAAAAAGTTTCGTAATTCCTTTTTTGCTAATCATCCATGTTAATCTTATAATCAAGATTTGGAATTAATGTGAATGGAATGTTTCAGTATTCTGAAGGATTTTTATAGGCTGTTTTCAGGAATCAGTAGCTATTTGATTTACATTTAGTTCTTATTTTGAAGGAGTTTCAGGAAACAGATTTTGCACATGTAATTAAAATTAATTCAGTTAAGGATTATGTAGGGTAATCAAGAGGCAGTGTTGCATGTACACACAAGTTTTCAAAAATATGGCTTATGCAGAAAATTCTTGCGAATCGGAAAGGACTGGATCTTTTCCATCCTTTTATGTCAACTAATATTTAAACATACCTATTTAAATTGAAAGAAGGCCAGCAAATTTGAGGTGCCTTTTTTGTGGCAATCAACTGAATGTTTTATATTTACAAATTGCGTACTCTTTGTTTGCCACAATGTATGACAGATCCAAATTAGGTTCTCAGAAGCTGAATGGTGAGGACAACAGATACTATTCTCTGCCTGATAAAAGATAATACAAAGCTATACAGAATATATATCTGTCATAAAGCAAACAAATGGTCCTTTTAAAGGTTATACTTCATATGAAAATAAAGCCTGAAAGTGCCTGAAAACTATTCGCAAATTGTACAGGGGGAATTCCTCAGACAGTTGATCATTGAGGAGGATGGCTTCCAAAGAGCAAGGAAATTTTTCCTTAATGTTTCATTGTTTTGATTATTATATGCTCAAATAACACCTTTAAATTGACTTGTCATTCTAAGACACTTCATGAAATATGATGGAAGATAAATAGATATATTTTTGCCGTATTCTGTATTAGTTTTGCACCAACTTTATTTACAGAGCTTATTTACAGAATTTCAGTATTGTAATATAATTTAGGAATGCCTTGTCCTTGTGAAAGAATAGTTTATGATGTTATTTTTACAGTGCCATTATGTTAATATTTGCATAAAAATGCCAGTACTGCTAAACAAATGAAAATGAGAACAGAATTTATTTTCTGGTTATGAGTTTTCTTGAACCTTTTGTTATGTCCAGCAAAACCTCTAGTATCTGCAGTTTTATTTTGTATTTAACTCATCCTAACAGATAGATTCTGAAATGTCTGTGTGATTTAGGTCCTTACTTTAAAAACTTTGAGCCGATATTCCTTGTTTTCAAAGTTTACAATGTTTGTTACTTTTAAAAAAAGTTTGTACCAATTTTAGAAGTTACCTCTATCAACCTGCAGCACTGGGAGATCTCTGCTTAGAGCAATTCAGATCAATCCTTTCTATTCTAATCTTTCTAACTCACTAATTTTTTTATTATTTTTTTTCCACAAATGAATGCTAAATAGGATTTTCAGATGAGCTTAAGCTAGGGTAATTGCCAGACCCAACTGGCTATATCGGCACTGTATCTTGACGCCAGCATCAAGACCAGTCTCACTTTCTGTATAACTGCCTGTTACTACTACTCCCTTGTGAAAAGCTGGAGGGTGCCTTTTAGAGCACAAAGAGTCCCACGTGCCTGAACACACTTGGAGATTATATAGGTCTGTGTTTTGAGCACTTTCTTCAAATTGAACTTTTTGCCTTTTTAAAGCAAATCAGATCACTGAACCTTTGCTGTTAAGCCCAAGTGGAAACAAGCCTAAAAGATACTAACCTGTAAAGCACATTAAACATTAATATATTTATTTCTTTAAAGGTTATTATACTTGTGTAGAAGTAATCTTCACTTTAAGAAGACAAGTTGGATTTTACATGATGGGTGTTTATGCTCCTACACTGCTTATTGTTGTTCTATCCTGGCTGTCATTTTGGATCAATCCTGATGCAAGTGCTGCAAGAGTCCCACTGGGTAACCTGCATTTACACATACTGTCACAATCCACTTTATGCCGTCAAGCCATTCACAGTTGCTTTGACAACATGACACTAAACACTGAAAGCAACTTCACTTCCATTACCCACTTTTCATTTTCACTGAAGCCTCTTCATTTCTAGTCCTGTAAAATCCACTTCCACATTGAGACTTTGCTTGACATTGGTTCCAATGCTTATGTGATGGGCACACTGTCTCTGCTCTTCTCTGTCTGGACAAATCTGATCTTATCTGTGTACAGCTGATGCACACAGCAATATTGCACTGAGTGCAAAATTGCACTGTGGCAATATGCAGTTTATAGGAGTTTGAACATTTCAGAAAGTAGTAAGAAAGCAGGATGATGATTAAGGCTCTAAATCACTACCTCCTGTGGCAGTTTATCTGAAGATTAATAAAGCAGAGTAACGTTTGGAGGAGAATTAGCATCCTTTTTACCTGATTGGTTTTATTCTCATTAGGGACTAGGCCCATGAGAGTACTTCAGCCTTGTGCTTTCAATGCTACTCAGGAAAACACAGTAGGGAGACCCTTCATTTATTATTAGATAGTGGGACACTGAGTTAATCAAAACAATATTATCTTGACTAGTTGGACTGCAGAAGACACTCCAGCTCAGGGGTGGCTAAACCTGCAGACCCCAAGAGCTCAATCAGATGTGGAGCGGGGCCCTTGCATCCTGAAATCTCTCCTGTTTGGAATCCAGTCCCCATGCGACCATGACCAGTGCTCTCCTTCCCCATGCTCTGACCTCCCCATGCTCTCCTTTTCCCCTGCATTCCCACCTCCACACATTCTTACCTAGTGTTTTCCAAACCTGGCTTTCTCCATGTTCCCGGGAGGTAGACTACACCTATTTTCAAGACCCCAAGGGTGCAGCTGCAGAATCCCTTCAGTCTCCTGCCTTCCTAGGAAATCCCTAACCCAAACTTAAATCTTGGGCAGCCTCATGTGTCTGAACATCTGTTAATATGCACTAGAGACCCTCGGAGTCAGAACCTGCCATATCACCTTACCAGTCTCTGTCTCTGATCAGCAGAGTCTAGTAGTAGTGGGGAGCTGAAATCCTTGTGTTAGAGCAAGCTGGAGTAGGAAGGGTGCTTGCCACCTTATTCCAGATGGAAAGGTGCCCACATACCCCAGGTCTGAGCCCCACTGCTCCCCCCTCAAGTTACCTAGCGTACCTCTTCCTTTTCCAGTGATACAACAGGCAAAATAAACTGAAGAGCAGCACCGCATCTGGAGAACCATGGCTGAAGTGCTGCTTTTGGCTTCTGAGTCACTACCCTGCTCTAATTACATGAAAATAAAACATGATTTCATTATATGTACTATATTAATATTTTTTCCATGAGACTATTTTAGAATACAGATCACTATTATTTTTCTTGGCCCTTTAAAAATAATAGTAATTATTTAGGGAGGAGTAACAATCTTTATTAGTTTGATAGCAAGTAACAAATATAACTTTTTACCTCGGAAAGAAGTAAGGATGCCTTCCATAATATGAAACAGAAGACATTTCAAGAAGGAAATAGTGTGGGGAAAATACACTATGTCTTAAATTAAAAAGACAGAAACAAGAACTAGATATATTTTTCATTTAGTGAGCTCCAATATGATCAAATTCTGAGCTGTATTTCTACTTTTATAGTTCTATAATCCTGCACACCAAATAGGTGACTAGAAAGGTTTGACTAATTACATGTTATGTTTGTAAGAGGCACAGTGCTGATTTATGTAACGTTGGTGTATTTTTACCTATACATACATGCTTATTTTTTTAATTTGTTTTTATTTATTATATGTGTTTATTGTTTTCTCTTATGTATTAGCATTCCTGAATTAATGCATTTTCAAAGATATTAACCATTGGCCTGGTTATGTGACTTTTCCTGAATCCCCAGAGAAGCCACAGACAGTAAATCTGACCATCCTTCAGTCATGAGTCAGCATTTAGTAATGAGAGTTGATAATACTGTCGTGGGGTCAGACTTTCCCTTTCTCCAGTTTGCAAGACAGCAGCAAACTAACTCTTCTAGCTACATCCTTGAAGAAGGTTGACCTTGAAATCTAACAATATTAACATTTCTTTGTCAAGTGAATGAAAGAAAGTGTTACTAATGGCCATTACACTTTTAACAGCTAGATACAGATCTCATCAGAGGAGAAACTTCTGATTTACTTCTGAGTATCTTAATACAGTTGTCCCTGGAATTAAGTATAGTGGACTACTGATCACCATGGATAGGAATCTCAGAAGTTTCCATGTGATTTAGGAATGCAAGATACTTTGCAAACCAATAAGCGGAATATGTTTTTGTATATTGATTAATGTTCTGAAAAAGGGGCATATGATTGTTTGAAGAAAAAAATAAAAAAACTATGCCCATGTAGGAGCTAAATTAATTGTGGGCCCTGTTTATGCCTATAACATTTCATCCAATTAGAAAAAATCTACAAAGGAGTTTTATCTTGACAGTTGTGGCTAAGCATTATAAAGGCTAATATCATTGAATGGTTCTTTGCAATTAAATGCTGGTATTGCAGGTTTTAGTGAGTCCTACAGAGGACTTTCCAATTCTTTACAAGTGGAAAGTGTGTCTGTTAAAAAAATTCCTTTCTTTCCTTCACTGCTTATGATTCCCCAAGAGGAATAAGACCTTCCCTCATGCTGTAGGAATCTGGGGGACTTATTTCCATCCACCCACAGTTGCCTAAAAGAATGGAGCGTTATTCCAGAGTGTAAGCAGCCACACACCATGCACTACCTCCTGTAAAAGGACGCTTGAGTTTCAGTCGAGCAACTGAAAGCTTGTAGTGGTATAACAGCATCCAGGGTTTCAGAAGCATGCCAGGTTCTTTGCTGGATCTCAGTACAACTGAATATTTGCAGATTGCCCAGGTTTATTTAAGACAGTCTAAAAAAGATAAGACTGAAGAGTGGCAGAGGCACATAAATAGGAAAGTGATGAGGGATTATTTTCTTTTTTATGTGAGAAATCTTAAAAATATGTCCTGGAAAAAGAATCCTATATTCTAAATGAATGCTAACAACTCAGAGGAAGGGATGAGAAGTTGTTACTTTTGCTGACATTTCAAAGCAGCCACTCAAAGTGAAGAAGGTACATGGTAGTAGATAGAAGCTAATGATGAAATTATTTTAATGTCCTTGTGTTTGTTTCATACAAGTACAGGCGTAGTGAGGGGGTGAAGGGAAAAAGCCCCTCCCATTTTAAGACCTTCCAGTTGTGTCTATGTATACCTCACGTTCAAAGGACTACTAGATTTGAGGCCTGTTATGCCCTCCATCACTCCTGCCCACCACTCTGTCTTAATTCTGATCATTTCATTTTACAAAATTGTAAAAAAAATAGGTCTCAAAGGAAAGCCATAAAGATGGTTATGAAAGCTGTGGTATGAAGAAGAATTGGTAAGATGTCTTTTAGGTTACAAAGTTTAATGAGAGAAGAGAATGTGTTAGAGAGACCAGTTTATAAGGAAGGCAAGACAGAGTACTGCCTTTTTCAATAACATTAGTGAGATGAAGACACACATTTATAAACCAGTAATATAAAACAGGAAATACTATTTTATATGGCATATGATTAACCTGTGGAATTCATTGCCAGGAGATAGTGCTGCAGCCAGTAAGTTTGATGAATTCGAAAAAGGGTGATTTATTTATTTGGCTGCATGTGCTGAAGTGCTTTGCTGGATCAGCTCTTCATGATATTATCCACACATAATGTTAGACGATATTTTAAAAATAATAGCTCTGCAACATCACTTTCTAGGCTGTGAACTAAACTTACTGGTAGAGATTGAGAAGAAAATTCTGTGAGCTGGTAATTTTGTTATTAGGATATTAATGGAGTCTTTCACATGTCACTGAAACAGGAATTGGATGTTGGCAGTAGGTCTCATCCAGTATTGCAGACCCTGTGAACTTAAAGTGTTTCTCTGGATAATGCTCTGAGTTCATGCTTATAAAACTTTTATGCAGCCAGATTCATCGGAAGACTCTTCAGCATTGAGAGGGCAAAACTGGAATAAGGAATGGCTGTGAGGAACAGAAATTAGAAAGGGAATATCAGCTTCCGGGGAAGTATAGAAGGATGTTTCTAAATGTTTCAGGTGGAAAAAGATTCTATGTTGATGAAGTAGCTATGAAAAAAGTTTGTCAAAAAAATTCTATGCATGCCAAGGAGAATTAGTCTGGTAGTAGTGTGTAGGTCTCTGTGTGTATGAGAGAGAGAGAGGATGGTTATACTTGAGGAGGTCACTGAAGGGAGATGCTGGATGTAGGTACTGTGAATAGAAGTATAACATTAAACCTGTTAAACAAAAGGAGGAGGTTGTACAGCTTTTGCCTTTGAGCAATTCTTTCAAATGGCTAAACTCTGCTGCTGAGAGGGACCCCACTGCAAGGGGGGAAAAAAACAGACATTTCCTAGGAAGGCCAACTTTTCTTTAACTTTGCAAGTCTGGAGGAAGGAGCTCATGTCCCTTCCCTGTAGTGTCCCCTGAAAAGAAAAGGGGGATTTAAAACAATTTTTTTAGTAAGTAATCTTGGACTTTATTCATTCTCCTCACTCATATTTGAGCGCTTTGCTTTGGGCTGGGCTAGATAGGCACCTAAAACAACAGCAAATTTACAACTCTGGTGCTAGGGTCTCTGAGGCTGTGCCAATTCTGATTTGGCAGCAAATGGTTGCTTAATGGAATATTTCTTTCTATCTCACTTTATTGTTTCCTTGAAAACCTAGTTTTTCTTTAGTTTCTCTGACTCTGAGACTGAACTTTTCACCCTAGAAATCCAGACAAATGGAAACTAGCAGTAGGTCACCATGACCTTAGCTGCCGCACTGGACAAATTGGTGAAAGCTCCACTGTAATCCTTTCAGCCAGCAGAATTTGTAAGTTAGTTTTCCAGAATTAAATCCAGGATTGTAAGCTCGAGTATTTTAAGCTTTACATAGTGGTTATACAAATGTTTTCAGCACCAGGCAAAGTAGTGATACAAGTGTTAAGACAATAAACACTTCTAAAATTAGTAGAAAAAAATATTACAATATCCAAGATGTTCAGCCTGTCCATATTATTGGCTAATTTGGTTATTTAAGGTTAGGACAGAGGTTGCCTTTCAGAAGTCTACAGTAGAGATGCATGGTACATGCTACAGTGCATTTTTATAGAATGAACAGAAAGCTGGACAAAGAGATGTTCTTTGGATGCTAAAAAGTAGTACAGACTTATTTGTACTTGTTACTACATTTCATAATGATCCATAGTCAGTGTTCAGCCCAAGGAGGCTGATGTTGGTTAGTGAAAATAAAGATAAAAGGGGACTGTTTTATGCTCACTTTCTATTCTTATGTGCATGTTTATGCCTGAATGCTTCAGAGAGATATAACAGATATAAAATAAGGCAGAGCAGACACTGAGGTTTGTTTGTTCAGTATTTGCCAGGTGATTCTGGTCACAACTCGCCATACTCTTTACTATCTTAATGGAAAACAAAATCTGGCTTTGTAATGGTGTATTAGTATTACACATTTCTAGATAAAGCACTGTAAGATTTTGTATTTTAAAACTATGTGACGATAATCATTTTATTATACCTCCTCTTTAGTGTTTTAGCAGCTAGTAAGGGGCCCATTTTAGATTAATACCAAGTAAAAGATTAATACCAAGTAAAGTATTGTGTCAATCCTCTTAAAATCCAAACAGGGAGAGTAGCAAAAGAATGCTGTGATGTTTGTGATCAGCTAGAATTTAGTATTTTCATGGGCCAAAACAGATACTTTCAGTTTTATTAACATTTTCATAGATCTGAAGAGAATTGCCTTTCTATGAGTTACAATTTTTTTCATGCTTTAGGTGACACATTTGACCAATAGAAGAAGCATAGTTAAGCCTAGCTGAATATCTGGTTTTTGGCCAGCATTTTCTATAGAGATCAATTACATTTCATCAGGCTGTCCACATATAACTAACGGACATTTTTATCGTTATTATTCATAAAATCAAAACTGGAAATTCTTAACTAGGAGGTTTAAATAAGTTTCCCCCATGTGACAACCCTTTCTAAAGTTAGCTTTTGCCAAATGTAGCTGTTCATGCTACTGTTCCCCTTTCATATGTACCTGAGAGAAAACTTTATTTGAGATGATACTTCCATTTTGTCTCTTGTGCTGTAAACCCTGTGTTAAAGTTAATGTTTGGGAGCTTTATAAGGAGCAGTGCCTGTTGAAACCTAATTTGATGATGAGTGTGACCTTTCAGCAGCTTTTACAGATGTATTTTTTTTCATGATAAGGGTTTCCTCAAAAGCTCTTTATCTAGAAAACTTCCTCTAGATATTGGAAGCTCAAATAGTGAATGATCAAAGACCCTCAGTCACTTCAGTGTTTTCCTTTTCACAGTGAACTGTGAATGCAAACTTTAATGCACCACTTCTCTTTCACCTAAAGTTTGCGTATGTTGATAGACTGGTCTTTTAAAGAATTGTTCCTGCTGTAGCACAGTTCATATTTCTGGGACTTTCGTAGCTCCTCAGGTCTAATTTAAGGGACTTGGAGTCTTTTGATTTAAATATCATGTGTTTCTCTTCCACCTTCCCAGAATTAGATGAATATTTTAAGTCAAGTCTCTGGAAAGTCTATTTCCCAGTTGTATAATGTGTGATGGGGCAGGAAAATCACAGCAGCCAGTTTAGCTTCTCTTGTCTGTTTCTCCATTTATAATATAAAGGTACTCATTATTAATAAATCATCATTAACTGTAATATCCTACGTAAGTGTTCAGTTTAACTCGTTCATTAACAGATGGCATGTGCACTTTGTATACCTGTTGCAAAATATACCTACTACATTGTGAAGTCCCGTTCACTGTTGCAAAATGTCATCATTCAGTATTGTCTGTTCCAGAGGAAGAGCGCAGAAAGTGCCAATGAGGGTAGGTTTTCTTTAACTAAAATGTTATTTTTCTGTTTGTAGGTATTTTCTCAGTGCTCAGCTTGGCATCTGAATGTACTACTCTTGCTGCTGAACTTCCCAAAGTGTCTTACGTGAAGGCTTTAGATGTCTGGCTGATTGTTTGCCTTCTCTTTGGGTTTGCATCGCTGGTGGAATACGCAGTGGTTCAGGTAATGCTAAACAATCCAAAGAGAGTTGAAGCTGAAAAAGCAAAGATTGCCAAGGCAGAACAAGCAGAAGGGAAAGGTGGAAATGCTGCCAAAAAGAACACTGTGAATGGTACAGGGACTCCTGTCCACATCAGCACTTTACAGGTAAGAACTGTGAAGTTATGTTAGCAAAATCAGCGTTATCCTCTATTAACCTCATTCCAGAAATACACTGTTGTTTGGATAGTGTTTAATCTTAGAAGTGGCTAAGACACTAAGAAGACATTGGTAATTAATGGCTAGCGGTCTGAGCGATTGGTCCCTAGTGATTTGGGGTCAGATGTTTCTAAATGAAAAATTGGTCTTTTAATATCCTAGTATCGTGGTTGTTGCTGAGCTTCAGGTAAATTAAGCAGCAAGTAGCTTTACACTCTCTAATTTTTTACATCTAATAAATAACAGCTGTCAAAGCGCAAGTACTCAAAGGAAAGGACTTCCAGTCGTTATTTGTTGAGAGCCTACTCAAATAACACTCGTCTCATTGCTTTCCTTGGAATGGCCACAGCTGCACTGCATTACATATAAAGAATTTCTAAACCCAGGGATCCAGAAATCTTGGCGTTTGCAAGTATAAGACAAATCTGTTTGCCTGTCAAACACTTCCTACATTTCTTGTGTTGCCAGATAGAGCGTATGGGTAAATCAGTCAGATCTCATGGCGAGAGATCAGGCCAAAGTTTTCCATAATGCTAGCCTCCTAGTGTGGTAAAACTGCCCGTTTGTGTTCTGAGAAGTATCAGACATCCCAAGCCAGCATCCACCAGTCCTGAGTGATACTTAATTGACATTTATTCTGCAGCAGAAAATATATTATGCTGCAATGTGTGGAATATGAATTTGGCATATAGTTCTCAATGAATTAAATATATAAAATAAAGCTATTAGGCCGGATCCAAGTGATAACATCTATGGAGTGCAATGTGACTTTAAAGCTTCTTTAGGGAGGGAATAGAAGTTTATCCCAGAATGGTGGAAACCCTGCCCTGATATAAATTTGGTGTTATCCAGAGGACTTATTGATATCACAAAGCAGTGCACTTGACTACCATAATTCTCAGCTGATAGGAGAGTCTCCTGAGAACTGTTTTGGCAGGGAGTCAGGCTCAGCTCGGAATAACCCTACACATGCTTTGACTTGTGTCACAAGCAATTCCTTAACCCCAGGCAACATGGGAACTGAGAGTAGAAAGAAAGATGGCACAGTTACAGATTGGCTTTCACTGAACTGAGCATGATAATTATACTCCTGTTTAACAATATGAGGGGTCCTAACACCAGCTGTTTCTTGTGACAAAATAGTTTAATTGCAACAGTCCAACAGAGCAGCATAAAATCCATTTATTCCTTTTTCAAGTACTTAAAAGGTTTAAAGATACAGCTTGATCAGTGAAAAGACTGACAAAGAGCTGCAGGTTTTCTGTATGATGAACAAAAACAAGTTGCTAAATTACTGACTGTCCTGAGTGTGTATGCCTTAGAAGGTGTACAGGGTGCTTGCTAGTGTCATAGCCATACGAATTAAAAAAAAAAAAAAGGATAATGTCTGTCATCTGTGCTATTCTGTCATTTTTAATAGATTTTTCCTAAAAGGTGAGTTTTAGTATGTGTGTTTGAAGGCGCAGAGGAAGAGGAGTCATTGTCCACAGAAATTATGCAGCATTTCCCATGAGTGGTGTCTTCAGCCAAAGGTTTTTGGGATTCAGTCCTCAATCTCCCCTCCAAGATATTGCAGTGTCAGCTCCAGTGTCTCATGTTTGACCTGCATGTTTCAGCGTGTTCCCTGTTTTCTGTCAGAGACCTTTAACATTCAAATGTCTAGATAATCTCTGCAACCATAATCTGTGCTGGATGTATATAGACTCTTGGGCATTTGTAGCTTCTAATGATGATTATGCAGATAATTATAAAACATTTATTTGCTGAGACATGCTGGAAAGATGTATTCATTGCCCTCAAGCTGGCCATGTGGTTGAGAGGTCTGCCCCCTTTATGGCTGATGATTGCTTGTGTGCAGTCACCTGTTCTGAAATACAGTCTACTTGAGAGTAGGTGTTCTGGCCTGATAATTCCTGGGAAGATGACTGGGTTGAGGTGGAAAGAGGGCCCAGACTGCTGAATCATATGGCAGTCAGGATGCAATATGACCGTGTTATTAGCACGCTCTGGGGAGGTGGTGCATTCAGGTCAAGGGTAACGCTAGTGATAATTTAGCTGAGCTCAGAGTTTATGGGAACTCAGACAGCAGGACAGTAATTGGCTTCTCAGGTCACTTGGGAGTGAAGTGGAGGCCTAAAAGAAGGGTGTTTGATTTCCATAACTAAATGAAGAAGGATTGCTTTGCGTTAAAGAAAATTTCTGAGGAACTTTCTATTCATCGTGTGATAACTTAATAAATCAGAGTTCAGTTCCAAAGAAAGGCGATGGTTTTAAAAGCTTGAGAAGTAATTGACAGTCTGAGGACTAGTGGAGCAGAGCGAGTGAGAGGCAGAGCAGCTGCAGTATATTGTTCTTGAAGTGCTCCCTTTTGGTTAGAAGAGCAAAATTTGGCTGAAGAAGATAAGATATGAGTTCAGATTAGCAGCTAGGAAAGATCAACAGATTACCTATTTTTCAGTATATCACAGCAACATGAAAAACAGCATGAATCAAGAGCAGTTATAGATGATGTGGGAATAATTCAGGTAAAAATTATTCTCAGGTTTATACACTAATATCGTTCTTTTGACTGTCATGGAATTACTCACATACTTGTAATTTGGTGTACACCTAAGCAGGCTAAATAGCTCATAAGCATGTATTGGACATTTATCCTAGAACTGAGGCACTCCAGCTGAAAGGAGTTCATTTTGTTTTAGTAGGCCAATGCTATAGCAAACTTTTCAAAGTGGTATACTTGGAAAATTGAATCTAATCCTGGGTATTTCAAATAAGCAGTATGATTTTCAGAGGATCTACAGCATCTACAGGAACAGGTGCTTAGCAACTTTCAGAAGAATGACACTTTTTTAAAAAGCTAAACTTGACTTTAGGACTTTATATGCATCTACAGGTGGAATATTTTCTATATATTTGAACACTATAAATACGCATAGATGGAACCTCCCTATCTGAACTGGCTACCACTTTGGAGTGCTTTCAAAGCTCTTAATCCTAAGAAGGCTATACCAGACTCCTCAGTCAGAATATGTCTGAATCATTCAGTAGATCTAACTCCTCATCCAGAAGGAGGCCCACAGTACAAAATTTGGATCACGATCATACAGACCTAGTAATGGTGAAGTAAAGAACACATCTGCCACATGGCAAGAATGTAAGGGGAGGAAACATCAAAGAAACAGGTAATGGAAAAAAACTGTATATTGGAAGGCATGAAGAATATGAAACAAAAAGAGGCCAGAGTGTCATCCCAGAATTTCAGGCAGTGTCATTCATCGGGGTTGCATAGGATTGTGTGTGAGGAGAGAGCAAATATTGTACTAAATGTCAGACCTGAGACAGTGGACTTAGGTAAACCTATATATAGCTTTAGGAGAAAAGGAGGACAATTTGGAACTGCATCCCTGAAGTGAGTGTGCGTCCCGTAGAGATGCTTGAGGGCTATTATGATACTATCCTTATTCTTTCATCTCAATACACTAAGTCCTGAAATACAGGAGTTGATACTAAGGCAAAAGCGATGGAGGGCATAGCTGGAAATTTCACCATGGCTGGACTTGAAACAATGGGTAGACCAGATAGGGCTCAAAGATAAAGCCAATAGTGAAGATCCAGAAGCAGAAGACTCCCAAGTGGGGAAAAACTGAGAGCATGTAATTAATTGTGCTTTGAAATGTTTCTCCAGCTTAAATGAAACACTTGTTTCTTTTGAGACATTAACTGAATGATGTTGATACAGATCCATAAGTTATTAGGGGTCAGTCAACTTTAAAAAGAGAAACTGCTTTATTTCACTTAAAAACACCCCCCACCACGATCTCTGCCAAGGCTAGTTTAGTAACTGAGGCCGTGACTCCACGAGCAGCAAGTTATACTCTAGCTCCCTCGGGTGGCCATGCAGCATCCGGTGTTGTCCCTGACAAGGAGCTATTGGGAAGGGGCTGCTAGCAAAGGTATAGTAGGTTGTTGGGCTGGGAAGGTCACAAGCACGGGGACAATTAGAGTCAACTGGAATTACGAAGTGGTTGTTTGTGGGGCACACAAGTGCATAGGAAGTCAAACTTTGGTTCCAGTCCTCATGGAACAACTTGTTTTCATTTGTTCTGACCATTTATGAAAGAGAAGAATGCCATCTGGTCTGGAGACTTGGCATCTTTAATATTATTAAAAAACAATTCCTAATAAAATCATACTTTAAAATACAATCAGCTATTGTCCCTTTTTATCACAAGAAATTGGATGAAGGGATAAACTTTTCAGTAACTTCTAAAAATTAAAAGCTTGATGCCTTTTGTAGTTGCAGATGAGGAGAAGAGTTTCCCTGTAACAGAACCTGTAAGCGTCCAGCTGGAAATTCTCAACTGAAAACACTTTTTGCACAGTGATCATGACTGATAAGTCACCAATAGCGTTAGTAAAGATGGCAAGATACAAGTAATGCTTACAGTTTGAGATTCAGTCAAAGATGGAGAAAGCCTTCTGTGGATGCATGGAATGGGTGCATGGATGCATGAATGCAAATCCTGAGTACTGACTGAAGTCAAAGCTGTGTGTTGCCAGGATATAACAAGCCCTAGAGTCCACGCTTTATGATGACCTCTCCCCCGCAAACTTGAGAGGGCAATGCCATTTTAAGCTCACAGGTTCATCAGTATGTCGGTCTCATTAAAGTCAAATAGTATATCTGCCAAAATCATCAGCTGTCTGTTGAAAGGAAATCACCCTGAATCTATAGAAAGAAGAGAAAATTCAAAATAAGCACTTCTGCTGTTTTTGCTAGAAGCTGTAATGACTATGCATTTATAGGCAAGAAGCCATTAGAAAGAACGTTTTGGCTCCTTTTGCTCATAGTGGCTGCAAGTAGCTGCTGTTCTAAGCAGAGAAGAAAATTATTCAACCAGATGGTAACCATTGGCACTATTTTTTTATTGGGAATCCTCAGTAGGAGT